TATATATATATTCCCCTCCAAAACATTTTAATGTCCCAAAAGATTTGGTTACCAATTGCGTGAAAACTCATGAAGTGTTTAATTTTCCAATCATAATATACTTTAATCACTTTTGCCTATAGTTCTGGGCTGACAGTAATGTAATTAAGATGACTCAATCACATGCTCTCATTAGGGTGGAAGTGGGTCAGCTGAAGAGTGGGTCTTTGAATGAATGACTGGAGCAAAAAAAGCTGGCAGGAGGGAGGGAGGAAAAGATGGGATAATCTCTTCCACAATGAACAACAACCCCAAGCAAGACGCAAAGAACATGCTGAATGAGCCTGGGGAGAAAGAGAAAGAGAGAGAGGTGTACAGCGAGCCACACTGCAGCTGCTAAACGAGAGTTCATTGAACTCTGGAAGCCTTGCCTGCATTGTCTGATGTGATCTACACCAATAGGCGACCAGAACACTGATGAGAAAGGAGAAGAGAAGGCGTTTTCTGAGAAAGTCTGGCTGGATGTCAAAGCCAGCAGAGAGGAGACCTGTTCAAAGACACAAAGTGAAAAATAGCCCTGGACTGGCTGTGAAACTTATTAAAAAGTTGCTGAATGGGCCCTGTCTGAAAATAATCCTGTATAATCTACATTTTTAAAGCAATATTTAGTGGCTTCACTACCTTAAAATGTCAAACTGATCCTATAAATCATATTTGCCTGCTTAGGTTACTACTATGTACCAAACTAGAGCTATAAATCTTACTGTTTTCAATGTGGATTAGAGCATTTTCCTTTACAGTTGGTCATGGAGTAAAAAACGGCCACCTACACTGTCAACAAACAAACACTCCATGTCAATGGTGCTGTCAACCAGAGTAGCTGCCACTAGCTTTAAAACATAATCGAATTTGATGGGTAAATCCTCCAGCAATGCAGGACAGTGGGTTAATCTGTCTCGCAATCTGCTCATCTGAACTATAAAACAAGAAGAAAAAAGAACAAGCACGTGCACACACACAAGGCAATGACAATCCAACATTACCATTACCGTATAGTATACTGGGATAATCTGAATCAGAACAACATTCCATAACAAACCTATATTATTCAGAAGTATGAATTTGTCAATGAGTAATCAAATAGACAGGTTGTGGAATTTATTAAACTAGCAGGAAGGATCAGCTATCACAGAATAATGAAAAACTTGATAACTTAGGTAATATAGCATGTAGATACTAGGGCTGGGCGATTTTCCCGATTTTATAGATTAATTTGAATGTATTGTTTTGCCACGATTTTATTTTTTAGAATTTGAGGAATCACGATTTTGAATAGAAATATTACCAACTAAGACACTTTGACAATATGCCGGTGATAACAGTA